ATGGATTATTGATAAAAAAAATAGAAAAGAAAAAATCTCAGCACTAACATGCTGAAACATGCTTCAGAAAATGGCTAGCAGATGTTGCAGATGTAAAAAAAAAGTGTTTGTTTTCTCTGCTCCTTGTAAAATCTAACCAGATCTTTTGGCCTGGTTAGTTTCAAATGTGTGTACCCTCGCTGGAAAATGTAGCGGGTATCCATGAACTGTAAATGTCAAACTTAAGCACCTTCAGGAGCACACAGACATAAAGGTCTTCATGTTTATCCTACAGAAAAATACACTCTTTAGAGCCTTTTCTCCCCATGATGGGAAAGAAAAACCCAATGCATTACTAAAGAATTGCATAAAAAATTAGAAAGTTACAAATATTATACAGACTCCTTGCCTCCTGAAACTTGCGTTATATAGGACTTTCTGAAAGCACTTTTTTAAAACATCAAAGTTTAAAACAAGAAAGTTAAAATTAAACCAGAATGTCTGTAACCTAGAACTTACCAAGTGTGATATTTTTAACTGCATATTTAAAAATACGCTTCTAAGTAATAAGAGCCATCATGGAGTGATTCATAGCTTCATGCAAAAACATCCCACAATATAAATCTTGTTAACCTTTTGAAAATCCCCAAAAGCTCATTACAAAGCTGATGAATCCTGGCATAACAAAACCTCATATTAAGGTATTTATTGTCCTTCTAGAAAGTCCTTTACTTAAAAGAAATAATACACTTGAGTTACTCGGATTTTATCATGGTCTGGCAGACAAGAAGTGTCAGACAGTGACATATGTCAAATTAAATTACCCTAGGAAGATCATATTTAGGACAAATAATTTCTCAGCTGATGTTACACAATAAACTATCTTCCATCTCAATTAATATCAAGTTTACAAGGTAACGAGCAATATAGTGAAAAGACTCATGAAGAAAAGGCGGTACCTTTCCTATCCTATTACTTTTACCAGTTCTTGGAAACTACATGCAACACCCTTAGAGACACTGCTTTTCCAATGAGTGACCTGTTACAAGAAATGCTGCATATTAAATCCTACTTACTGAAAATATGCATTTATGACATTTACATTCCCTAATGTAAGCACTTAATTTTATTGTAATTCCTATCTTGATCTAACTTTACAGTCATTACCAAACAGAACAGTGTGAATATTTGAGAGCAGAAGCACCATGTCTGAGTCAATTATGAAACTCCAAGTAAAAGCACAGTAAAATCCTGGCCTTATTGAAATCAGTTGCTGCAGACTTCACTGACACTGCTATGGCATTCTTTAAAGTCAATCTTCATCAGCCATGAAGATGAAACTAATGAGATTTTACTGCTTTCTACAAATACCATTTTCTGGTGTTTAGAACCCATGCTTGAATTCCTTCTTCAGTTCTCACTCCAGCAAATTAAGACAAAAATCTGTCTCAGAACTTGTCCTGCATTTTGGGAGAAAATGTACAGAAGGCAGCCTTCAGTGGTAGGTTATTGCCAGTGAATAATGATTATTGCCAGTGAACAGTGATGCTAAAACCAGAAGCTCCACTATAGTATTTAAGCAGCAAGGATTTTTTAATGAACTATGTTACATACTTACTTATTTGAAAGTACTATCTTCTCAATTAGAAAATAATAGTTTCCAACTTTTAATTTTTTTCTATTCTATTGTACAAATATATGGCAGAAAGACTTGTAGTTATTGCTAAGATAGTACTAATTTTTAAAATACTTATAACTTTTTTTCCCCAGGTATTACTCTGTGGTAATTGCTAGTGCCAGCTGTGAAGCTATTTTTAACTATGGAGGAAGCATCCAGTCAGCCATTTTCCACTTGTTTCTGTTTAAAAAAACCAACCAACCAAACAAACATATTTCACTTACATTCCCTAAACACATTTCTGATGTTTTTACTTAAAGCATCAGATCTGCTCCAGCTTTCATCAGGAAAGAAAATGAACTTCTACAAAAAATTAGGTTTCAAAACAGAAAGTTGAACTTTCAGATTTGCTTTGTTACATTTAGGTATGTAATCACTCATCTTAAAACTATTCTGTTTAGCGAGGTACCCAGCTTCAGTTTATGAGAACAGAATGTGTCTGTCAGACTTAGTACTCAACTGCAAGCAGCATTATGTCCAGCTCTCCCTCTCCAGAAGCATCCCTTTATCTCAATGTTTGGTCATCATCTGAGTTATGTGTACATAAAACTGGTTATGTGTACATAAACTGGTACGTAAAATATGTAACACACATGTGTACATAAAACTGGTTAGGCGACTTCTGACACTCAGAACTAGCAGCTGCAAAAATACACTGACAGAAACTGACAAAAACACTGACAGTGTTTACAAAACCTGCAGGTTCAGCTTTTTATTTGTCAGCTTCTAATGTCACGAAGTGCCCACTGTTAGGTGTTCGTTAACTCTATTGATGGGTGAACTCTAATTTGACTGCATATGAAGAAAAAAGAAGAGTAGTTTGGACTTCATTAACCCAATATTTGCCTTTATCTTTTTGCATGCAAAAGTTGTACCTGATGCATTCATTTAGCTGTTTTTATTTTATTCACTTTCAAGTAATGGCTTCTACACCTCTGACATCCTTCCATGTTACCTGTAACTTTGAAGTAACCCAAAATAGTTTTGGAAAACTTGAACTCTATTAAAAGCCATAAGCACACACAATTACAGAACGTGTGCCATAGAATAATCACACCAGTAGGTGGTTTTAAAGCTGAGATGTCAAAATACTCAAAATATTTTTCCTATGGCAACTGCAAAATGTAGTAAAGCCCAGCTTTACTACCTAAGGCCAAATTCTACAATCTCCTGTCAGAAAAACTCTAGACTGCACCAAAAACTGGAGGCTTTTGGGCAGTGCCTACAAGAGGAAAATTTTTACTGCAGCAGAAATGTAACATATGGGCAGAGAAATTATCTATCAAAAAGTCAGAATAATACAGCCTATTATTTTAGGCAACTGGTTTGGTTTTGGATTAGATTCTGCTTTCATATTCCAGTGACGCAGTAACAGAATATAAGCTTTCATTTTCATTTTCATTCATTAGGAAAGGACTCCTGTCTGGCTGTAGATGGCGGCTTTTAAAGAGCTTGAAAGATTTTTATTTCATCCATGCTTCTTTTCACATTCACACTCATGTAGGGAATTTCAATCCGATAATGAGAAACAGAAAACATAAACTGTTCATAATGAAAAGTGCTGGACATCTACAGCTGTACCGACAGTCATCCCCTGCAATGAACCTCTTTTTTTCAGCCTGGTGATTATTTTCTTTGCACATATTTCTTCTGCCCACTTCTTTTTTTTTTTTTTCTTTTCATTAAAAAAGAAGGAAGAAAAATGTAGCCCTTCCAATTGGGCTTTTTGTTTCACTCAGCTTAGCTGCCCTGCCAGGGAGAAGTCCAGACAGACAGGTCTGGTTAAATCACTAGTGGGAATTACCCATAAAAGCCCCCTCCATAGGAAGCTACACCCAAACAGATAAGGTCAGGATAAAGTGGATACACGGCATTTCCTCCCCCATCATTTGCCATTACACAGCACAAGCTACTAATTGCTCCCTGAAGCCCTGTAGCTAAAGGTCAAAAAACACAGTTTAACATGAGACAGAAGAAAGCAGAATAGAAAGCTGGAAAGACTGAGTTACATGTCAATGCTTTAAATTTATTCCAAACCAGGTATTTGTTAAATGGAATTATCATGTCTAGAATGCCTGCAGAAGAATGCGAAAACACTCTAGTGGGCGCTGTTAATGTGGCCTAAGGATACTAACACCTTCCTGATCCTCATGTGACAGTGATGCTAACACAGAGCCTGACACACCAACTGAGGGTCAGATATTCCACTTCATTTTGCAAAAAGCCTCAATGCCCTCTGCCTCCACTTTCTATTCATCTGTGCATAACCTTCACTTCAATGGACAGCAAAAACCCCATAAAACCAGAAGTCAAATGACACATCTTCGCATATTATCAAATAATACATTTTACTATGAAAGAATGCATTTAAATAATGCTGTTTCTCCTCATGAATTTTACTCTCTACCTTATATCTAGGACCAGCTTTGTTGGTAAATGCAGCTGTTACGCCTTGCTGGTCAATACAAAAGGATGGGAGCTTTCTAGGGGAAAAGAAAGGATATTTGATCTGCCCAGTCAGCAAAACTAAACTGTTCCTTGAGCATAACGCCAGGAATTCAGTCTTTTTTGTTATGACCTTCGCTATGTTTCACATGCTGCATTTTACAAACAGGCTTTTAAAAGGTTCCATTTATGTCATTTGGCTCTTGAAATATGCATTGAGAAACAGCATCAGCAGAACATTTTCTTCTCTTATGCAATTTGAGGAATACTAAAAGAAATTTTGGAAGTCTGAAGTTCTACTGGCTTTCTATATGATCTCCATGTAATAATTACATCTTTTTAGACACCCTGTTCTGGGATTAGAATATATGGGGTTTCTGACACAGTTAATTCATGTACAGCCTTCAAGTCCTTTGCATCTGGCAGAGATAAAGCGGTTAAGTGGACTTAAAGTGGTTAACAGTAATTTCAACTCTGGATCTTGTCAATTATTATCTGAAGATTACTTGGTAATCTATGTAAAATGAATTTGACTGTCTCATTTTGAACCTCAGTAAATGTGTCTACTTCACAAAGTAAGTTGGACTAATGTACTCAGCAGAAACTGTCACTCCACTGTCAGTTTCAGCAGAAATGTTGAAGTTGGAATGTGTCTTTAGAACAAAACACAACTTTATTTCTGAAGGAAAACCAAGCAGAATGAGAGTTTCAGCTGAAAAATGCTGGGGAAGATTACTATGTGCTCCACATCTCTATGCTCTGGGTAGACAAAAGACTTCAACTCCCAGTGTCTGTGCATTCAGAACTTGTTAAAGCAGTATTTTGCAGTAAACATTTAATATAATCACTCTGGCAAAGCAAGAAATATTGCATAGATGCTCTTATTAAATATGATTACCTGACATGCTGCTGGGAGTTATGGATATGTAATCATTCTTGTTCTTCTTCCGTCACCAATGTCACCTGCCAAAAAAAGGAAGAAAGTCCCATGTAATACGTCCATAAATGCAAACTGCAGAATACCATTAACATTTACACAGGATGGAACATTTTGGATCTTGAATACCACAGCTGATGTCTGATGGCTTAACACATTAAATTCAATTCACCTTGCTAAACTGCATGAGGCAATGAATGCAAGTCAGGTCCAAAACCTGGTGAACCAGAGGAGCTGTGGGTAACAGGGATTTGGAAGCAAGGTCAAAAAAGCTAGTGGCTACTGATGCATGATGCAGGATAAAAAATACTTCTGCCCACTTCATGGAACACTTTTTAAAAGTTTTTTTTGCAAAAGTTCCTTTAGCTCTAATAGGGAACTTGAGGAACCAGTGGTTTTTACTTTACAGCAGATTTAGATTAGATATCAGGAAGAAATTCTTTACCTGAACAGGTTGCCCAAAGCAGTTGTGGCTGCCCCATCCCTGGCAGAGCTCAAAGCCAGGCTGGATGGGGCTTCGAGCAACCTGGTCTAGTGGAAGGTGTCCCTGCCTGTGGTAGCGTGGTTGAAACTAGATGATTTCTAAGGTCCCTTCTAACCCAAACCATTCTGTGATCCTGTGATTCTCTCCTCTCGCAGTGTTTCCCTTTCCTTGTCCTTGAAATACATATCCCCCACCACCAGCAGGCCGAGAGAACATCCCGCACATCTGCTCTGCTTAGCCACAGGCTGCACCACCAGAATGAGAACGCAGGTGAACTGCAGCAACCGCATGTTCCGTGTAATTAATGTATCTGGGACGCAGCCTCGCAGTTTCACCTAACCCCATCATCAACACCAACAGCGCTTCACGGACGAGGGCTCAAAGCTCGCCCTGGCGCTCGGGCACCTAAGGCGTTGCAGTAACCCGTCAAACGCTCCACAGCGTGGGGCGGACCCCCCCTCCTCTCGCTCCATGAGCCCCTTTGCGTCCCGCTACCCCAGGGCAGCGCGGCTGCCCGCCCCGTGAGGCTCAGCGCAGGGGGAGCCGCCGCCTGCCCGCTCTAACACAGAGGCAGGGGGCGCGGGGGTCCCCGCTGCGCCCTTGTCTGACCACAGACACCCGCCCGGACCCGCTCCGAGTCCCTCCGGTCGCCGCCGCGCAGCGCGGTGCGATGCTGCGGCGCCCCCTGGCGGCAGCACGGGCGCAGTGCGCAGCGAGGGCCTGCCGCGGGGCACAGTGACGGCGCCACACACCGCCGGACACCACCGCACACCACCGCACACCACCGCGTACTGCTGTAAGGCGCTGCACAGCCCTACACGCCGCTGGACACTGCTGCACACCACTGCACACCACTGCGCACTGCTGCACAGCTCCACACGCCGCTGCACACCCCTACACGCCACTGCACAGCACTGTACACTGCCGCCCACCCCTGCACACTGCTGGGCACCGCTGCACACCAGTGGACACTGCTGCACACTATTGTACACTGCTGCACAACCCTGCATGCTGCTGCATGCCACGGCACACACCCCTGCACAACGCTGCATGCTGCTGTACACGCTGCTGCGCATCGCTGCACAACCCTGCATGCTGCTGCACACTGCTGTACGCCGTTTTTTTTACCCTGTGCACCACTATCTACCACTGCACACACCCCTGCACACTGCTGTATACAGCTGCACAACCCTGCACACCACTGCACAACCTTGCACACCACCACATACTGCTGCACACACCTCTACATACACAGCTGCACAACCGTGCACACACTGCTGCACATCGTTGCACACCCCCGTGTGCCAAACCTGCAACTGCCATGCAGCGTTGCTGGGGGGGTTCCTTCCATGCAAATCTCAACCTTCCTAATTTCTATTATCTTCTCTGTAATGTATTCCTTGTCTTTTTTTTTCTTTTTAAAATCACTTTATGCCTCATTACATTAGCCAGGCATATCTAGTAAATCTTTAAACTAAATTAATTGCTACTCCAAGGTTCAGAATTGTTTTAATGATTCAAAAATTCCCAAATAAATCACACCCCCCCCCAAAAAAAAGAAAAGAAAAAGAAGAGAAACAAGCAAGAGGAAACACCCCCACCCCATCATGTTTACTGTATTTGCAAAAAAAACGACCGTAAGTTTTACAGCAGGAACTGGTAAAATCTCCTCCAGCATAGTGTTAAAATGTATTTTTAATCTCCTTGTCTTTTCTTCCAGGCAAACCACCCAAGACTACATCTATGCTGTTCTGACAAAAGACAATATTCTCCTTAAACTCTTAAGTGAAAAGCAAATGCTCTGCTTGATATTTGCCATGTACAAACAATGCAAGCAGAGGTGACAACACAAGATCTTTCTTCCACTCCTACCATCCTGTGGAACTTCATAACCCTTCACAGTCTGTCAATCACAGGATTAAAGAGGATACAAATTTAGATCAGGCCTCCAATTAAAATCAGACTCTGATCCATCCCACCGTGCCATGGGACCCCATGAACCTCAACAATAAGCCATTTCCCAGAATTTAATAGTGGTTTGGTGACTCAGTGACACACAAGTGCTCTTGAAGTAAACAATGAAGTGTTTCAAATAAAAATCCTGTCCCTCCTGCAAATAATCAGCTACTAATCCCCAAATTATTGTTTTTGCACCAATCTATTAAAAAGAAGGAAAAAAAGAAAGGAGAAATACAGGGTTCTTCACTGAATCTGTATGCAGTGAAAAATTCTAGCTATCCTGGGACTTCTGCCATTTTCCCTGATGAGTCCAGGACTTGGCATGAAGGCAGTTGTCACTTGTGTAAAAAAAACTAATTATGAAATGATTGTACAAAAGATGGTCTTTTGTTTAAGGCATCATACTAATGCATCTGGCTTTGGCACAGTCTTCCTATGCCCCACAGTTTAAAATGGAGAGTGTGCATCAGCATCTTGCTCATCCAGCATCTCCACTAGCTCCATTCAGCAAGTGCCAAAAGGTAAATATTGCACCTGATGGTGATTTTAATAATCTTTCCAAATGTATCAGGAATGTTTTCGAGATGATGCTTTAATCCTGCCCTTTACATGCTGGAAGTAATTTTCTGTTTTTTCTTTCTAAGGAACGTGGCACATGAATGCAAACATTGGGTGCAGAACTATTTACGCATTCTGGCACCCAGAACCTTGCCTTGTCTTCTGAAGGCCCAGCACAGTTGCTACTTTACATGAGCAAGAAGAACAAGCAGTGTCTACACTTTATATACCAAGTTACACTTCAAGACATAGATGTGGAAAATATTGGAGGAAATCAGACTCTTTTTCACAGTCTAAAACTCTCTGTGCAACTTTTCTGTAGTCTGTAACTAAAAAGCACACAGAGGGGCACAAATTGGAATGATGTGGATGAGTCACAGGCGAGGCTCCACCACACCAGGCGGAGTCTGTCTGGGAATAATGTCTGGGAGCCTTCACAGACATTGCAGAGCGAGTTTCTTCCTTGCCAAAAGTGACACGATTTTTATGGTTAAACTTTGCTGACATCACAGGCAGCAGGCTTCATTAGATTAGCTTTTGTCTGTGGAGAGCTCATTCGCCCACACAAAGTCTCATGGCCCTGAACCACAAGCCCTGAGCATGCAGCACTAACTTTAGTGGTTGTTATCTAACACCTCACATGACTTCCCTGCCAGAGAGCTCAGGTGGAAGAGCCAGCAGTGTGTTCTTTCTCCATCACTGGAGTTCAACCCTGCTTTTTGTTTTGTTTTGAAAGAAAATAAAAGTAGGAACATGCTGATTCCATTCTGATAGTGAGTTCTATTTCAGATCTACAGCCCTGCACCAGGAAAAGAATATTCCTATTTTGCCCCAAATAAAAGAAGACATTGTGGGGATCTTCATCTCCTCCGGCCTGAAAATGTGGTATTTGGAATTCTCAGGCTTTGATCTCCAATACAGAACCACTGTCAAGCCATACTGCCAATTACTGCACTTACTTTCTTTTCCCATAATGAAAGACAATTAACCAATTAATATTAATCAATGTGGTTAAGTGTTCTCCCACTCTCATCCAGTGCCTTCTCCTTCACACAAATGCATCAGATTAACCAACAGTTATATAAAAGAGTTGTACTGCTCGGGGGATGAGGGTGTTTTCTGCCTTACGGTGTCCAGTTTTGGCTGGGATATAGTAAGTTTTCTCCTAGTAGCTGGTGCAGTGCTGTGTTTTGGATTTAGTGTGAGAATAATGTTGATAACACACTGGTGTTTTATTTGTTGCTTACTCTAAATCAAGGACTTTTCCGTTTCCTGTGTTCTTCCAGTAAGGAGGTGCCCAAGAAGCCATGGGGGCACAGCCAGGACAGCTGAACCAAACTAGCCAAAGGGGTATTCCATACCATAGAACATAATGTTCAGTATATAAACTGGGGGAAGTTGGCTGGGAGCCACCAGCTGGTGCTTGGGAACGGGCTGGGCATCAGTCAGTGGATGGTGAGCAATTGTATTGGCATCACTTGTGTTTCCAGAATTTTATGCCTCTTCCTATCTTTTCTTATTATTATTATTATTACTTCACTTTATGTTAATTACTGAACTGCTCTTATCTCAACCTGTGGGGTTTACCTTCTGATTCTCCTCATCCCATCCAGGGGGGTATGAGTGAGCAAGCAGCTGCACGGTACTTAGTTGCTGGCTGTGCTTAAACCATGACAATGTTGCTTCAAAGTTTAGGTAGCAGCTGTCAGTCTCCTGCAGGCCAGGTGCACAGTAAATCCCAGTCCCTGTCTGTATCATGAGCTGCATCTTTTCTGGCTATCCTCAGGCTTCCTTTCCTGCTCCACAAACAGCTGCCCCAGGCAGCACTGGGGACAAGCATTGCTGCTTCCCATCTTTTCTCAAGGTAGCAACAGATAGGAAAAGGGATTCCTCACCTTTCGGAAGCACTTTCGAGCTACTTGGCTCCTCACCCTTCACTGGACTCCCTCTTGACATCCCCTTTTAAAAGGCAACAGGAGGGCCATGGGGTGACCTGGCTCATCCACACACGTAACCCTGCCTGCA